TGCACAAATGCTTATGGTGTAAAACAAGCTCTACAGACCAGATGAACAACGCCAACTCAAAGGCCCTCTATGCAGTCCATCATGGGATGAACATCAATTGGGGGAAGGTTCTGTACAAATCCCTCATTGAAACAGTGGAGAAGAAAGACAAGAAAACAGGCCTATTCACCACAAAGATGGGCCATGGTCTTCTTCTCTCCAAGGCTATTGCTAGTCAAGGAGTGGTTCTCAAAAAGCCCTCAACAGTTGATCATTCCAAGACCATATTTCTCACTGCTTCACCAAAACTTCATGTGGCTGTAGCTGCAGAATTGAAGAAAACAAACAAGCTTGAGCAATTAAGAGAAAAACCAGTAACTACAGCTGCGGTTGATGATGAACAACCCAAAGAAAAGAAGAAGAAGGTTCAGAAGAAGCCTGACACCACCCCAGAAAAACCTGCTTCAGAGGTTGACACATCAGAAAAGGATGCACCAGCAGAGGCTCCTGTCAAGAAGCTGAGACAGAAGAGGAGAAGAAAAGCAATCATTCAGAGTGATTCTGATGGCTCCAAGTCTCCTATCAGAATCCAGAAGAAGAAGAAGAAGACCAACTCTCCCCCAAGGGAATCAGAGGTTCAGGGGGAACCAGCACCAGAGTTGGACACTGCACTGGTGATCTCTGATGCTCAGGGGGAACCTGAATCAGAGATCCAACCGTTATCTGCACCAGATCTGCAAATTCCCTTGTCTCCAACAGAACAGCTAACCTCCACTGCTGCTCTGGACAGACAATTTCAAAGGGTACTCACTTGGAGAAAATGGAGGATGGGACCTCTGCAACAGATTCTTGCTCAGGCTGCTACTTTTGAATCAGAAGAAGAAGAAGTCCTCAAATGGGCAGGTACAGATGATGTATCAATATGCTTTGATCTTCAATTTTTACATTCTGTCTTGGAGAAGAAGAAGGGAAGCTTAAAAGGAAAAGAGAAACTGACTGCTCCACCATCAGAAGAGCATGTCAAGCCTCTATCAGAGAGTGAGATTCCCATCTTTGATGCATGGCTGATGGAGAAGAAAAGAAGGGAGTCTCTCATCAAGATGAAACCCCTTCCAGGTGCAGAGGGTGAACCCTCCACTGCCGATGATGTGCCTCTGGCCATGAAGAACCTGATCAAAGAATGGAGAGAATCTCCAGTTGAAGAAACAGTCTTAGAGGCAATACCAGTATCTCCCCCTCACTCACCTCCCAAATCCCCTTCACCCAAACCAGTCACACCAACCCCAACACCACCACCATCTCCTCCACCCTCACTCATGTTACCCACTCCCTCACCCAAGAAATCCTCCACACCTAAACAACCATCACCCTGCCATCAGAAAACCCCCATCAGAAGCCGATCACCTTCACCTCCTCCTCCATCACAACAACAGAGAACCCCTACCCCTCAAACTTCACCTCATCAGAGCTCCCACCATCAGAAATCCAAATCTCCCTCTCCTCAGCAGAAGCCTACATCTAAATGTCCTTCCCCTCAGCATTCTGCAGCCTCCACTCAAAAGAGAGAACCAGTTGTAAGGATTCCCTCCTCAACTGAAGATAATGATGGGTTCCTTACATCCTCTCTGGCTTGTGACCTCCAATCTAACAAAAGGAAGACCCCTACTCCTCCTCTATCTCCTGTTCAACCTCAACCTCAACCTCAACCTCAAATCAATGAGATACCTCAGCCAGAACCACCCAAAGCTGTCCTCATTCCCTTCCAAATCATAGTTTTATTTATAATAAAAATATAAAAATCGTAAAAATATTTATAAATTACTAAAATTGGGAAAATCTACAATAAAATAAAAAAGAATTAAAAAAATAAAATAAAATTTTAAAAATATAAAAAAATATAAAAAATAAAATAAAAGACCTAAAAAAATAAAAATAAAAATATATGTAGGTCACTAACTTTGCATCCTCCACCGCGCAGCACCATCACCTACAATCTCCAGAAAAATGTCATCTTGTGTAAAAAATGTCACATATCCGTGAAAATTGCATAAAGATTGCATTTTTACTCTCTAAAAATATCCAATTTTCTTTTCAAAATAACCATCACAATTCACAATGACATTTTCCCCCAACCTGACAATCTTTTCCGGCGACTGGAGGTGGCGTTGCTGGAAGGTGGCTGGGGTGGTGGTTGAGGTCGGTGTATTTTTATTTATTTGTTACGATTTTTTATTTTAAGTTTTTATGTTTTATAATGATTATTTAAATTATCCTATTACGAAGGACAATCGAAAGGGTAGAATAGGAAGAGTTAGTCCTATTTTGGGAATTTAAATTAACATTAAACTCCTAATGTTGCAATTATCATTTTATTTAATCCTATTTAGGAAAATCTCCCTTTGGTTTAACTAATCAATTAATAGAATATATTTTAGAGATATTTGTATCCTAAAATATATTTAGGAATATTTGTTTCCTTTTTGTAAGGAATAAATGTAATTAGATTTTGATGATGCTATAGGATTGGAAAGTTAGATTACCCCCAAATTAGATTTTACGTATTAGACTTTTCAATTGTAAGTATTAGTGTAGTCGACGATCAGAGTTGCTCTATTTTGGATCAGATCAGAAGTGCATCAGAACTGCTCGACCAGACTTGCTCTATGAGAACTGCCCCATCAGAGTTCTATTACCAGAAGTCCATCAGAGTTGCACCATGAGAGTTGCTGATAAACTTGGACATCTGATAGCCGATGAGAACTACAGGTCAGAGGTACTCATCAGCGGACCTATCAGAGTCAGAGTTAGAGTTCAGTCAGAGATCAGAAGACCTTCAGAACTCAACTCATCAGATAGCCATCAGAACCCAACACATCAGAAGAGCCTGATCAGAGCCCGACTAACACTTAGAAGATTTCAAGCAACATCCAACAGCTATGAATCCAACAGGTAAAACATCCAACGGCTAGAAAACTGTGCATGAAAGGAAAGCATTTAATGCACATTAAATGAGCCTGATACGCTGAAGGATTGATTGCAAATGATTGACCAAGGAATCCGGGAAGATATTTTATAAAAATAGAAACCTTCCAAAACGGCGGTCAAGTCAACTGTACGCGCATTCAATGCAGTTGTCTCCTCCTCCAACGGGCAGACAACCTCAGTATATAAGCTACTCACCGAAGAACAGAAAAATAACTTTTGCTACAACTTTTGGTCATCATAATTCAAGCTCTCTTGAGACTCAAATCCTACAATCTTCAACAAGACAAGCTTACGTTGGGAAGATTCAAACTCCAAATCTTTCATCCCCAACAACGAGCAAAGTTCATCCTGTTCTTCAACTCTTCAAGAACCTCATCAAACATCATTTGTGACGAAGCAAGTTGGAGGAAAAACTCTGTTTTTCAAAGGATCTTCTGAAAAGAAGGGCGTCCAAGTAACTGCAGTAGTGAAGTGGTGATACTTCCGGGAAGCTGAGTGAAAGGACCAGCCATCAGGACGTGGAACTGCATCCTGGGTGGCAACTAGGCTTGAAGAAGGCGTGGAGAACTTCTTAAGCGCTAGGAACTAAGCTTTGTAACCGATCTACTTCAAAGCTAGTGGAACAGTGGACTAGAGGAACGCGTTGTTCCTTGAACCACTATAAAAATATCCGGTGTCATTTACTTTACTGCAATTTACACTTCTACACTTAGGATATTAACTGTTAATTCTAAGACTTGGAATCTGTGTTCAGCAGATCTTGTTTTCAGAGTTATCAGAAAGGCATTTGCCTTAGTGTTTCTGAGGCTACCCGGACAGATCAGAATCCGCTGCCGAGGCCAGTTCTGATATCAGAACCAGCCTTTCTCTGTCATCAGAATCAGACCTTCTCTGATAAGTCACTTTGGACTTAGAGAAAATTTGAAAAATTAATCAGTCTATTCACCCCCCCCTCTAGACTGATTACCATATTAAACGGGACCAACACTTTTGTATCTTGAACTCTCTCATTATATATACACAGGCCAGGATTCCTATGTGAGTACCTTTTCCCGTTAATTCTCACATGGTATCAGAAGCCTAGAAAAAAAACCCTATTTTTCTCTTTCTTTTTTTCCGTAGCAGCCATGTCACAGGACATCTCCATGGCGCCGCCGACCTCAGCCTTCACTATGCCTCCAATCTCAGTCTCGACGGACGTAGTTGTCACTGATGCACCTGAATCCTCTTCTACCGTCATCAACTCTGTTTCTATGGAACACACACATCCGGGATTCTCTCGTCTGACTGGCCAACCATCCATGCCACGATACACAATTGACCCGGTGGGGTTCTCCATGCCTTTACAACTCACTGATCCGGTCTTTTTCTCTTTTACTGCTGGTCCATACACGGCAGGGCCGTCCTACTCTCTTTTCGGGTCACTGCCGCCACAATTTTCGTGGGCACCGATGACACCACTGGTGGAAAACGAGCGTTATGCGGCACTTTTTTTGGACAAGTGCGGCGCTTTTAAGCGCCGCATACTCGACCGCCGCACAGGAATTTTTAGCGGCGCTTATTTGTATAAACGCGCCGCGGATGTTGAGGCGCTTATTTAAATTAAACGCCGCATATGGGGTTTTAAAATTACTATAAAATTCGGCTCCTCGTGCGGCACTTTTTTTGGACAAGCGCCGCGTATAAAAAAAAATATAAAAAAAACGTTTTCTATCTGCGGCGCCTATTGCATACAAGCGCCGCATATTTAGTACAATTTTTAAAATACGTGCGGCGCATAACATTAAAAAAGCGCCGCATCTGTAATTTTTTTTTTAAAAATAACATTTAAATAATTAATAATTCCTAATTTTCCAAAACATACACATTCATCAAATCTGTATTGTTACTAGCATTCGAACACACTATATGTTTACCAAAATACAAACATACATCAATTTTTTGTTACATCAAAGACAAATTGTAGCAACACTTCCAAATTAAACACGAAATGACAAAAGCTAAGTTTAAATTACAATCCAAATAAGAAATTGTAGCTAATCTACATATTTATAACTACATCTAAAAAGAACCTTGCCCATATATCACGAATATTGTTAAACTCTTCAACGGTATACGCTTCACTTCTTGGTGACCAATCCTGAAATAATTAAAAACATAAAAAATGAATAGTTTGTAAAGTACAATGCATATCATAGTCAAATTAAAACATATTGTTATACCTTTCCGATGTCAATGCTACCTTGATAAAAAATTGCTTCCCACATATAGCGCATGACATAATATCCACATTCTGTACTCCCAAGTTGTCTTGCACACTTTAATTATAATGCATATAAAAATAGTCAGAGGGTAAAAATGAAATATGCTACTTGTTGAACAACATATTGAATTTATATACCTTGATATCATGCCACTTGATTGACTTTCCACGACCATAGTGTGTAGAAGCAACTCTATACGCTCTATAAGAATTGTAAAGATTTAAATATATTTATATAAGTTATAAGGTACAATACATATAACAATTGTATACTAAAAAAACAATGTAATTTACGTACATTCCCAAGTCTTTTTGTATGGCAAAGCTAGATCCACTTAGAATAGAGTTAAAGATGAAGCCTTTATCAACTGTTGGACAAATCACAATCAAGATCCAATGAAACCTAGTTTTAAAAAACATGTATCAAGTTAGTCAAAATAAATAATTTTAAATAACCAAAAATAGTAATTTTACATTACACTTACCCTTCATTATATGGCAAGAAGATCATTCTTTTCTCAAAATTGACATTTAAGGCATGTTTGAAATATGTCATTGTACCCTTCTTGTCAATTTGATAAGCTTTATGAGAGCACATTGATGGGCATAACAATGCAACATCATCACAACCAAGTTCATCCAGTTTATGCTTGATACAACTGTATTCAACAAAATAACACAATATATTATGTCTTCGTTAAGTTTAAATTTTTATATGTAATATTTTTTAATATTTTTACGTATTAATACTTACAATAAAAAAGTCTGAACAATGCTAATATCCAGAGAATCGCCCTTAAGAAATTCAATCAGATCCTCACGATGAATAGTGATCCCGAATTCCTTTTCTTCTTGGTAGTGGAACAACTCAACGGGTAAAGGAACTGAAAACTTACAAAGTACGGGTTCAAACCACTCGAGCATCTCATGTAACTCTTGCAAATCTTCACTAAGTGATTCCAAAACAGTCTCACTTATCAACGGATATGTGCTAGGAGGAACCATAGATCGTGGAATCTCTCTTGCTACAAAAGGCTTCTCCTTAACTGCATCTTGCTTGTTTGACTTTTTTTGTTTCTCCTAAAAATATCAATAAAAGAATACAAAAAAACTGTAGAATACTTGTATTTCATTGTGAAATTGTAAATACATCATCATCATTATTATTTCATTACCTCTCCTTCAAAGAAAACCAAATGACTCGGCCATTCTACAAATGATCCAACAGCGTCCGCCGCAACAAACATATCAGCATTGGGGTTTGGAAAGAAAAGAGGACATTGCTCGTAACCTGTATACACCATAGATATATTCACTTTAATGGTATTCGCAGACATCGGAATATTATGAATCATGGCTCCTGGCGCGCTATTATAAGCCATTGCAATCGCCATAAATTCTACATCTTTTTGTCCATCTGGTGTCTGCTTCTCGATAGCAAGCTTACAAGATGTCCGGTCCTACAAACATTCACATAGTGAGTAATTACATAACTAAACAATTTCACACATAATGAATGCATCAATTAGTACATATGATTTGATATATTACTTACACTGAAATGTTTCTGTGGAACTGGTGCAGTGGAGTTCATTGTATCTGCATATACTTCCTGTGAAGGCATAGACTCAAATGTGGTAGAGTGAAAACCTCTCTGAATAAATGCTTTTTCTACATCTTTCATCAACTCCTCCTTCAAGTTCCTCAAATCAGCCTCACTTAAACCTCCAACCTTGCGTGAATTCCTTGGCTCCCGGTCAAACACTTGTTTAAAGCCCACACCACCTCCAACACCTCGTACACGCCCAGGATAATCGGGTTTCTCTAAAACCTCAGAAAGAATATCATGCCGCCCATGTGGCTTCCATGCCCCTGCAGAAATTTCTTCTTGAACTTTGTCCTATTAAACATTGTAAAATATATAAATTTTATACATCATTTTTATATGGAACAAATAAAAAAATACACTTAGCACACTTACTAATTTTTCTTTTTTCTTTAGCATGGCTTCTGTATTACTCGGGAAAGCTAGCTGCCCTTCTTTTGTCAGTCCAGATCTAGCACAAAACCAGCCCACATGTCTAGGGATCTTGTTGGTAGATGTACTCGACGTTGTCGACGTTGTTGAATCAATTTCAGAAGTAGGGAGAAACTTATCTAGCAATCCCTGTTCTTTCCATTTCGGTATTGATAGAGCATATCCTGATCGACCCATATGGTGAGGGTAAATGTTCTGTTGGGCAGCTTGCTTGTTTTTTTCGCTTAATGCCTATTCATAATTTTATAAATCATAAAATGTGAATCATAAAAGGTAGTCAAATACAATAAAATATATTTCAATTATACCATAAATTCTGGAGTCATCGCCTTAGCACAGAACTCTTCCCAAGCATCTTTTGTCACAATGCCTTTATACTTCTCAAATGCTTCACCACTGTCATGTCCAACTGGTCGTGTCTTATTTAGAAAGCCCGTCCTCAACCTACTCCTGAAATCTCGATGAACCTTTCCTAACCTCTTAAAAATGACGTTGTACATCTTGTCATCAACAACATATGCATCCTACATTTATGATTCAAATTGCATTTATCAACAACAACAACAAAATATTAAAATTAATAAGTTTGCTTAAGTAACAAATTGCATTTATTTTACCTATGTACATGAATAAATATATTTACCTTAATCTCTTTCCACATTTGCATCTTTAATCTGTTTTCAACTGTCTTCCAACCCTGGATGTTAATATCTACGCGATCACGTACTGTCTTGCCTAAAAAAGTTTTAAATTCTTCAGCCCATTCGCCAATTGCCTGACCATTCTCAGCAAAATCAATGATTTTCCTCCCGTCGCTAGCCCTTCGCCCGGGGCCGATATCACCTCCATGAGCTTCCTCCTCGTGGCTCGGATCATCCCCGTCTGAATCACTCATATCCTGCAACATAATGAAAAAAATTAGTACATATTTTTTTTGTAGATATTTACAAAAAATAAAATCAAACATGCGTATTTAAGACAACTTACAATTGTAGTCATGTATCATGCTATTACTTTGACTTTTCAAAGTGAATTTCTATGCCGTCGTTATGATTTCCCACAAACGGAAGATCATCTTCATTGTAATCGTATGTCACATTTGTTTCATGCATGCCTACAGATAACGATGGCATATCTTCAACATAATCATCTTCAGTACCTTCAAAATCATCGACATTTAACTTTCTCTTGCCAGGTAAAACGACACACCATCGCTTATTTGAAGGATCCCCTATATAAAATACTTGTTCCGCTTGTGATGCAAGTATGAATGGATCGTCACGATATCCAGGTCGGGTAAAATCCACTAATGTGACTCCTGTTTGATCATGTTGAACACCTCTTCGGATATCGGCCCATTGACATTTGAAGAGTGAAAAAGTTCTGTTCGTGTAGTTCAACTCCCATATGTCCTCGATCTTGCCATAGTAACACATCTTAGCATAAAGCGGATTTTGGTCACTTGAACTTGCATATTCTGCCGAAGCTGCTACCACCGATACCCCGCTATTCTGTAATACAGATTTGGCATCCTGTCGGGTAGTATAAAAGGTGTAGCCATTGATATCATATGCTTCATACGAATCAATTGCGCGTTTAGGACCATAAGCCAACCACTTAATGTCTTCGTCAACCTCATTACAAGCATCATTTTTGTCGTTGAAAATGAAGTGTTTGAACCAACTTGAAAAAGTACGGTTGTGCTCTTTAGTCAACCATACTTCACTTTTCAAAGGAAATTGAGTTCTCAAAGCATCCATGTGTTTTTGCACAAAAGGAGAAACAATTTCTAAATGATGCAAAACAAGAAGATGAGCCTTTTCCACTAACTCATGGTCCACATTCTTTACTACTTTCTTTCCAAGAATACCTTTGCCTTCAATTCTGTCATCATGCCTTGACTTTGGAACACCCAATGGGTCAACATTCATCAAATAGGGTGTACAAAACTCAATGACTTCTTCGTCAACAACACCCTTGATGATACTACCTTCAGGATGACAACGATTTTTCACCTTTGATTTCAAATATCCCATATGTCTCTCCATTCCGTACATGTATCTCAAGAATACCGGACCACACAGCTTCACTTCTCTAACCAAATGCACAACAAGGTGCACCATAATGTCAAATAATGAAGGCGGAAAATACATTTCAAGCTGACACAAAGTAACAACCACTTCAGATTGTAGTGCATCAAGTTTGTCGGGATGAATTACTTTTTGGCATATGGCATTGAAAAAGAAACTCAACCTCATTATTGCATGTCTAACATGATCTGGTAAAAGTCCCCGTAAAGCAACTGGCAACAAATGTTGCATCAAAACATGATAATCGTGAGACTTCAAACCAACCAATTTCAAATCCTTTAATGATACAAGATTTTTAATGTTCGAGGAATACCCAGAAGGCACCTTTATGCCATATAAGCATTCACAAAAAGCCCGTTTCTCAGTCTTTGACAGTGTATAACTCCCGGGTGGAAGATAAACCCCATTTTGTCGTGGTTGTGGAGCCAATTCTTTTCGAATATGGAGATGTTCAACCATGTCTTTCCGGATATTGATCCCATCCTTTGTCTTTCCGGGAACATTCATAATAGTCGAAATTATGCTGTCACACACATTTTTTTTCGATGTGCATAAGATCGAGACAATGTCTCACAGATAAGTCTTTCCAATAAGGAAGTTCCCAGAAAATAGATCTCTTCTTCCACAAACTTTGCTTCTTTCTCTTATAAGGCTTGCCAAAGACTATGTCCAAATCTTTAACCTTATCATATACCTCACGACCAGATAATAGAGGACGAGGAACACCATGCTCAGTTTTTCCGTTAAAAGCCTTTTTCAGTGCACGATAACGATGTGCACGTGGAAGGAACCTTCTATGATTCAAGTATACATTCTTCTTGCAATTGGGTAATCGCAAGTCAACCGTGTCCTCTTCACAAATGGGGCATGCTTTTTCACCTTTTACTGTATACCCAGAAAGATTCCCATATGCTGGAAAATCATTGATGGTGCAGTACAACATAGCACGCAAATTAAAAGTCATTTTTGTGTGCATGTCATATGTTGTAACACCTTCATTCCACAAAAGTTTGAGATCATCAATCAAAGGTGCAAGGTAGACATCTATATCGTTACCTGGCTGTTTTGGTCCAGAGATGAGAAGAGACAACATTATATACTTACGCTTCATGCACAACCATGAAGGCAAATTATAAATCACCAATAAAACTGGCCAAGTACTATGTTGACTACTGAGCGTGCCATATGGATTCATACCATCAGTGCATAATCCGAGCCTCAAATTTCTGTCTTCATTACCAAAGCTAGAATATTTCAAATCGATTTGCCTCCACTGCGGTGAATCAGACACGTGCCGTAAATACTCATCTTTTTTCCGGCCTTGAGCATGCCACACCAAATGTTTTGCGTCCTTTTCATTCATGAACAACCTTTTAAATCTAGGAATGATCGGAAGGTACCACAAAACCTTAGCAGGTATTTTTGTATTCTCATCCTCAAATGCACCACTTATGCTGTTTTTTTTCTTGTAACGTGAAGTGTGACACGTGGGACATTCATCTAAATTTTCATACTCATTGCGGTAGAGTATGCAATCGGCTGGACATGCGTGAATCTTCTTCCACTCTGTTCCCATAGGACACAACAACTTTCTCGCCTTATAGCTCGTATCGGGGAGTGTATTACCATCAGGCAACATCTCTTGGAGCAATACCAACAGTTCGGTGAAACTCACATTACTCCACCCATGTTTTGCCTTCAAATGAAATAATTTTAAAACAGCAGACAATTTGGAGAAAGCAGAACTAGGGTACAAGGGCGTATTGGCTGCCTCAATCAGATATTCATAAGTGATTGGTTGATTATCAAAATTGTCTGGGATATCATTCAAGAGATCATCAATTCGATCATCATTAGCAACACCATCCCCATCACCGTCATCATTAGCATTGGTATTAGTAGTAATATGAGCCGCTTTACGCTTCAAAGTGCTAGAACTTACTCCAGAATAATGATTTTCAACATCTACACGTTTTTCACCATGTAATGTCCATGTTGTATAGTTTTCCTTAAAACCCTTCTCAAATAAATGTTGAAGAATTATGTTCACATCTTTTTCCCTTTTGAGGTTACGACACATAGAACAGGGACATAAAATTCCTTTTTCTCCTTGTCCTTTCTGGTGCGCAACGGCAACTTTGATAAAATCATTGGCGCCATTGAAAAATTGTAAAGTGTTTCGCAAACCATACATCCAATTGCGGTCCATGACGAACAAATCTCTAGTCTTATCAAGAACATGCAATGAGTAATACATTACTACGTACTAAAAAAACAGAGAATATTTTACATGTCAAACATAGAACAAATTAGGCTATTCAGTGAAGTAAAAGCTTCATTTAATATGCTTCACTTCATTTAAAAATTTCATCTCAAACAGTACATTTAAATTAATCTAATACTATTAAAATAAGTCAATTCAAACTGTTAGATCAAATCAAATTAATGAGACCAAATCAAATTATTAAGCCGAAACTATTAATGTTGGATCAAATCATATCAAACTATTAAAATAAGCCAATCTAATACATTTAATTCCAAATCCTATTTTTTTAGGAAACATTTATTTTACTTTAAATCTCTACGTTTCAAAAAATAATAATAACAGCTAATATCCATCAGAAGGCGAGAAAGTTGTTGCTTTACTTTAGAATTAATACTTTAATTTATTGTCAATGAGCTAGAGCTAATAGAGCTAAAA